AAAAGGGGATTTATATGCAAAATTTGAAATAATGTAAATAATAATATACTTTGAAAACATGCAAAAAACTAAATAGATTTGTAAATAAGTTGTAGAAATGGTTCTAGTTCTAGTTTCCAATGTTGTCACTTGTCATTTAACTTGATTATGAAAACAATTCATGATTGTTATTCTAAGTTGGTACTGAAAGATATTAACACTCTCTAATACCTCTCGCTTGCCAAATTATCTAACCAAAACACACTATTTGACGAGACCTAGCTTTAATAATTCAACCTAAACACGCTCTTAGATTGTATTGAAAATTTGCATTCAGTGTTGTACAAGCTTCCCAATAATGTTTATTTCTTCTCATACATTCGGAAGTGTTAAAATATGTGACATGTGCTCTACAACAAGAAAACTTATTGTTTGTTACTAATCATTAACTTTATAGAACGATTAGGTGCCCTAAAAGTTGATTAACTACACAAGAATTCAATTCATATAAGTGGTCAATCAAACATAAATCAAATTCAAATATTATAGTTTAAACAAGAACATAATCACTAGAATAGAATCATAAATCAAATATCAAGTCATATGCTTCAAGTTAAACAATTAACATGTCTTGAACAAGAACTAGAAATTAGGGTTTCTTAGCCACACATGGCTAAGAACAAATCAAACAAAAATATAGATTTGGAATTGTTTAATTCTTACAAATGGAAATCAAAAATGTTTTCAATGATTTGGTATCTTCAAAAGCTCCAAAATGCCCATTGTTGCTCTCAAAACCGTATGTTTGTGTAAAATGGTCGATTTCCTCCTTTTTAGCACCACAAGTAACTGCTCACTTGCTTGCCTCAAAGACCATCCATTTTTTAGCATGGCCATGTGTTTTGACCATGGCCATGTGTTTTTGAATCAAGGCCAAAAGGCCCATTGTTGCTCTCAAAACCGTATGTTTGTGTAAAATGGTCGATTTCCTCCTTTTTAACACCACAAGTAACTGCTCACTTGCTTGCCTCAAATACCATCCATTTTTTTAGCATGGCCAAGTGTTTTGACCATGGCCATGTGTTTTTGAATCAAGGCCATGCTTTTTGCTAAAACTCAAATCAGTCTTCAAACTTAGCTTCGGTCTAGCTTCACCCAGAGGCATGTTGCTCAAATATATGATGAACATAACAAACATAACCCGTATCAGTGTGACACAGACCGTGCTTCAAACGTGGTTATTCGTTATGATGAAATGCAATGACTCGGGTTGTGTCTTCAAGTTCTCTTCCGTGACACGACTGGTCCATCTTCTCTTTATGCTTCAATGCTTCGTGCTCCATCATCCAAGCTCCATGCTTGCCTCTGTAGCTCCAATGCTCTATGCTCCATAATGCTTGCAAACTAAATCAGAAGATAGTGAACTACCAGACATTCTAAATAAAATATGCAAGTGTCCAAATAGCTAACTAACAAGAATTTGGACGTAAAATACAATGGAAAGACAAAAATAGATGTGCAAAATAGGTGCATAAAATGCACTTAACAGTAAGACTGAAACAAAACATAACAAATTATTTGATTCCGTTTTGAAACAGTAGAACCAAGGATGAGCGTGGGATGAAACTGGTACCGACCAGTACCGTTTTTGATTTTCCGAAAACCGAATTTGATCCAAAGTCAATCCCTAGGACCGAACTGAACTAACATTACTGGTACCGGTACCGGGAATTGTAGTCCTCTCAGATATTTTCAAGTACTTGTCTGATACATCAAAAGTTATATCGTATCCTAAATATCTAAGCGAAGCCACATATTTTTGTATACCACATTACCACTAAAGCCCATTCTACCTCTAATATCAGGTTTTTGTTTAAAATAATGATATCCCGCCTCTAAAACATTACTAATATGTGAGAATAACGCCATATTTAGATGGAATCAATGTTCGAATGTCTCATCATTATAAAGACAATTCTCGGCAAAATAATCACGTACCAATAGTTCATGTACGACTTGGCAATCTTGATTGACAACCGCTCTTATACGCAAAACATTTGTATGTTCTTCATTGTCTATGCGTTGCACAACATTAAAGAACGTTGAGATAAATTTCCCACCATCATCCGAATCAAAATTTGTAAAAAGTTTCATCTATATGATATATAGAGGGTATAAAGAGAAGAATGATTTGAAAATCTGGTAGTTGAATGTTGTATTTATATAGGTAAATTTTAGACAAAACTGCGAAAATGGTCAATGTTGTATGCATTTTTTCTGAGTTTTGGTTCAAACTCCGACTTTTCTGGCTTCGTGGTCCAGTTTCGTTGTAGAGTTAGTCAATCGGTAAATTGAAATGACTAATATCCTTGGGTATTTATTTTATGTTTTTTTTTTCGTTTTTTAAAATCTAAATACTTATTTATTTATTTTAATGATTTAAAAATAAGAGGGTCTCTCTCTCTCTCTCATGACTATGTTGTGTGCTCCCTTTTATAATCTCAGTGACACTCCCCTTCTTATACAAATTTCTCTCTGACTTGTGATTTGATTTTGTTGATTGTTATATTATACGAATTACAAGGCTTTTTTCTTTTTAATATTGTTTAGGTAATCTGTTCATGCATGTCCACGTCTATCTAGATCAATTTTCTCCAGAACAAGTAAACTATTAAACTTAAAAGGAAAGAGGATAACAATGCACTCCAGGTGCTCGATGAAACACGAAAGAAAGGTACATTCGCATATTGCAACAAAGAGGAGAAATTAATTGTCGTTGATCATCAATATTTTACCTGCGTGAAAGCAGGCTCACAAAGGCGAGGTGAAGGAGTAATCTCAGAGTGTGTGTTTAGGAAGAACACTATAATATATATATATATATAGGGAAAGGATCAAATGAGAACATCTAAAAGGTTGAGAACGCGAGAACAGTTCTTGACCAATCAATATATAAGGGCATATAAGTAATTGCATATTTTAATTAAATTAAAATAAAATAAAATCTATCAAATTCCCTTAAATTTAGGATCAGTTACCAAAAAAGGAGATATTTGATTTTTTATTTTTCTTATTAATGAAATATAAAAAATATTTTTATCAAAAAAAATTAAGACTAAAAAAATTTAATTTTTTTTCTTAAATTTTTTTTTCTCATATTTTACGGTTTTTTTTTTCAAAAAAATTAATAGAAATCCAACCCCAAATCAATACATTTGTATTCATAAACGATTTTTTTTTTCAAAAAAACTAATACTACTTCAATCACAAATGAATACATATCAATTTACAAGTAATCCACTTCCTTTCTTTTAACCAACTGAAAATAAAAGGGGTGTAAAAATTATCATTTCTTCATAAAAGAATACATTTAATCATAAATAAATACACTTATTCACACATGATTACATTGCTATTTACAAATGAATACATTGTTATTAACAAATGAATACCCTGGTATTCACAAATGAATAAAACAATACCTCTAATCATAAATAAAATACACTCATTCACACATGATTACACTGCTATTTACAAATGAATACATTGTTATTAACAAATGAATACCCTGCTATTCATAAATGAATACCCCTCTCACGCATATCATCAAACAGCTTATGTGCACAACCTTTTACCTTGAATCTGATTACAACTTTGTGTAGCTATCTCTTCCATCAATTGTAAGGGTTGCCACTTGAGCCTATCGAGTTCTGCCAAATCAAACAAGAACAAAAAAAAATAGCCTATCGATTCTGCCAAATCAAACAAGAACAAAAAAAAAAGAACCCTTACCTATTTTTGAATCGTTGTTGGCCTTCTCGATAACCAAACAACCCAATATCGGGGCTTTGTCACCGGAAACCAATGGCAGACCCCACATCCCGCTGCTTCCATTTTCTTTTTTTCTTCTCTTCGATCCATCCAATCACCAAAGGTGCCCCATCTTTGATCCACCGAGACCGACAACCCACCCCTCGCTGCCTCCTCCTTTCCTCCTCTTCAGCCTCGTCGACCACGGAGACGCTCCCCTCGTCATCACGACGGTCGACCACAGACGTCGCCGATTGCCTTCACTTCCTTCCTACGTCTTTCATCGACCTGTTATGTAGGCTGCGTAGATGGATAGTGATGGTGCAATGGAGGAAAGATTAAACCAAAAACGCATCGAGGTGGAGACTTGCGATGCTCCGATTAGGATTGATTCAAACGATGTGCGATGGAGAGAGGCTGAGGGAGGAATTGATTAAAACCTAGGTATAGAGAGAGAGAAAGAAATGAAGTGGGGGACAAATAATTTGAACGACAATATGATATGTGATTGAGAAATTATATGAACAAGTTAAAATTACAATTACCATTATAGCCTTGTGACCTTTTACAAGTTACACTTTAATACCTATGGTTTTAGAAACGTAAATGACCCGTTTGATAATAGCCTCAGATCTGAATATTTTGATGGTCCAGATCCGTTCTCGCGTTCTCAACCTTTTAGGTGTTCTCATTTGATCCTACTCCTATATATATATATATATATATATATATATATATATATATATATATATATATATATATATATAAAGAGAGAGAGAGAGAGAGAGAGAGAGAGACCTTCTATTGTTTTAATTATTAAAATGTTAAAATAGATATTAAAAATACAAAAAAAGGGGGTATAATAGTCTTTTAATTTTCAGATGGACCATTTTCACGTAGAAACTATGCCTAATGGACAATGAAGCCAAAAAAATCAAGGTTTTAATTAAACCTCGAAAAAAATACATCATACATGTACTATTTTGCAGTTTTGTCTAAATTTTATTTAGAAAAAAAAATTCAAAAATTTGACCGTTCAACGGTCCCTTTCCCTCCCATTGGTCGTGGTTTACCGTCCTCCCCACCACAATTCTCCAAGACAACAAAGTACCACAGAGGGTCGGGATAGTGTTCATCTTCGTTGTTTGTTGTCACATAGACCCTGACGAGCTTCGTGCTCTGTATTCCGTAAGGTCTAACAATGATGGTTTTTAGCATCTATGAAGAGAGGGAGAGGTTAATTTTAGCTGGGTCTATTTAACAAACTATAAATTATAAATAATAAATACATGATGGAAACAAATAATTAAGACTAAAATAATCATTAGGATATAATATAACGACTCAAAACAAAATTAAACCACAGTTGCAGTGATACATTTGAAAAAAAAAATGAACTTTGCTTAAAAAAAAAGTAAAAAACGAAATGAACCATTTTTATAATTTACTCTTTTTTATTTTTTTTATAAGAAAAAAGTTATTAAGAAAAGAAATTACAAAAGACATTGTATAACTGTTGAGTTACGTGTTCTTAGATTTTGAGAATACCTTTCTTGCGTTTTTCATTGAAAGAATTAACAACTTAATCCAAACTCGAGATGTATATGATTAAACATAATTCAAAGTAGTTTTTTGGCATTCCATGGAGAATAATAGATATATTTATCTCACTTTTCAGAGGTTAGTATATTTTATAATTTGTTAGTTTTTTTGGGCGATGGGTATATTTATCCCGTTACATATTAGTGATTCCTTTTAATTAGAGTGTAATTCCACATAATCAAATCATTCAAAGCTTTTGAATCGGTTGTAACTTAACACTTTGACCCAGTTTTACATATCCTTATTAAACTTTGCTAATTGGAAAAACTGTATATCATTATTTGCCCATTCGTATTATCTGCGGAAACTAACTATAATAAATAAGTAATTGCAAATGCCCAAGATTCAAAGACTGTTGTATTGACCATAAATAACATGAGCTCAAATCTAAGCATATTTATCAGAAACAATCAAAATTGTTATAACCTCTTGACCAAAAATTTAAAGAAAAAAAGAATTAATTACCTATTTATTTTAGACCATATGACCAACAAGTAATTAATATCGGTCCAGTAGAAAACACAGTTCAAGCCTCAGATGCATCTCACCTGCCACCATCACCACTGCTGACATTGCTGTCTCCATCATAATAGCCACCAGCATTACCACCATAGCCGCCACTACCATAACTATTTCCACCATAACCACCACTGTTAAAACCATCACCGCCACCCACACCACCTGCAACACCAATGTTCTGACCATCAACGCCAAAACCACCATAGGCCCCACCACCATAACCACCTCCACCATAACCACCACCAAAGCCTCCACCTCGGTAACCACCACCACCACCCACTTGTGGCCTATCATTTGCATAATTCACTTTAACCACTCGGCCATGCAACTCCTGTGGAATAATCAGCAATCAGTATTCTCTTTTGACTTAATGCAGAAAGAACGACTTAATAGACAACACTTTTTTAATCATCAACAGACTTTTTCATTAATACATAAAGGTTTTAAAGAGCAAAAAAAAAGGAGAGAGAAAAAAGATGATTACCCTTTGATCCAATGCCTGAATTGCAGCAGAAGCAGCCTCAGTATCAGTGAAAGTAATAAAGCCAAAACCCCTAGATCGACCAGTTTCACGATCCACAATAACCCTAGCTGAAAACAAGAACAAATTTAATCACTTATTGCAATAATTTCTACTACCAAAATTCCATATAAACACAAATGCTTGGATTGGATTATTGGAAATTAACATGAATAATACCTTCTTGGACATTCCCATATGCACTAAAAGCTTCTCTCAAGCTCGTTTCATCTGTGGCATAAGACAGGCCTGCAAAAAATAAAGTTGATGGAAATATCAAGATCGACTTCACAGAATCACAAATTTGATATTTCAGTTGGGAATTTGAAATTACCTCCCACAAATAGTTTTGACGATGACATGCATCGTATCACTTGAAAAATAGATGGGTTAGCTGCCGATAGTTCATGATTGACCTGCTTACTTACAGTCTGCCTTACCATGTTGCCCATTTTGTTGAAGAAAGCCATGGTTGTAAGTTAAAACCTAAATCCAGCAAAACAGAGGATCAAAGAAGTTTCGCTATATAACATATAACAAAATGATGAAGTTTTTGCAGTACGTTGGTCAAATTCACTATCTTTTGTAAGTAATTTTCAATCTTGACACGAAATACGATAGACATTATCTTCATGAATCATACTAACTCTTAGGAATGTTATAAATAAGACTGAACTCCATGATCAATAACAATTTTGCAAAGTACACGGTAAAAGTTCTTAAATAGGCAAAGTTCGTGGATTAATTTTCAAAATCAAAATCAGAAAGAAACCTATCCCTCCTCGCTAGCCAAAAGATCCAATCCATCCACGTTTTGATTTTTGTATTCTTTAAAACCACTTCTATTTTCATTTTCAAACGAACCAAGAGTAACAGTAAAAATATATATATAATGAAAAAAACAAACGAACCAAGAGTAACAATGAGCATATAGACAAATGCAATAACCAAATCAAAACATACATTTGATTCGTTGAGCTTCCTACTGCGTGTTTATGATTCAGAACCCTAAAATGAGGGTTTATGGGATTTTCAGGAAGGGTTTTTTATTTATAGATGTTGGATCGGAGTTGGGGAAGTATGGGCCGTCGGATGGGATGTTCAGGCTTGTGACGTTGGGCTTGGACCGCAAGATTTTGAAGTTTTGAACATCTCGGCTATAAGGCAATGACCCGGTGTGATGATCGGTTCACGGGTCAACCGCTACCGGTTTATGGTCTTTTTCTATTTTCATATATTTTGACTTTTTACATAATGCATACACATATAAAACCAATAATTTGATGTCCACAAAGTTTAAACATTGAAAAAACATATCAAAACATGTTATAGATCAATCTAAACATAATAAACAACCACATAGAGTATAAATAACAAAAAAAAAAAAACATAGTTTTAGACGGATCCAAACGCGTCACAACCAAACCAAATCATGGATCTTGAGAAATTGGAGTATTATAAGCATCGATCTCGCGGTCACTTAGTAATTGAAATTCACTATCAACTTCATGATCAACATGGTCACCTTGTAATTGAGAAGTCGTTTCGACACAAATGGTTCGATCCGATCCGTATTTGTATCCAAGCCCTATTAAAACGTGTCAATCCGGTTTTAACCGGTTCAACACAAACGGTTCGACCGCAGTTTAGGGGAAACTCGACCGGTTCGATCCGGTCCGTATTTTACAAAAAATCGTTCTCAATTGACCCAGGTTCTACTCCGGGTCACGGTCCAATCGGTTGAACCGGCCGGGTCGGCCCGGGTTTTAAAACATTGTTATAAGGAGTAATTAACCCTCGAGTTTTGATAATATACGTTCCAGACGCCGCTTAAGTAAATTTGTTTGAGACTAGGGTGTTTGGCTAACCTTTAAAAAAAAAGTATTTTAACTTACCGACATAAATTAAAATAAGTGCTTTGATAGACTGTGTTGGTGAATTGTTTCATTAATTGTATTTAAGTGTAATAGATTGACATGTTTACCAAAATTAATCTTGCTGAATACTAAACAAGTAAGGAATGTGTGGAGTGCATACTTGTTTAAGTTTATTCAAAATTCAAAGTAGACTGTCATTTAGAGGTGAAGCCCCTAAACGAACGGGGTTTGGGGGTAGAGCCCCTGGCTGGGGTTGAGTTGGAGATAAGTCAGACATAAAACTGTTTTAGGACGGTTTTATTCGTTGCTAAAACTGTTTTACCCGAATTTATTATCGTCCCTGTTGAACCCGAATTTATGACGGTTTTATTGGTTGCTAAAATTGTTTTAGGACAATTTTCAGACATAAAACTGTATTGTGACAGTATTATGATAATAGAAGTACTTAAGCAAATTTTGATCAAATTCTTGTAACACCCGATTCAAGGTACTTTCATTCTTTACCCTTGGTATGTAAATATTTTGCATATTTGGTCCCTAGGGGGGGCAGTTTTGCCAATTTCATAAATCATGGGAGTACACGGGGCGTACTTCTCTTATGCGGGGCGTACGCATGCAGGGGACAAACCCTAAAATTTAGGGTTTGGACCCTATTTAAACAACTTAATGAGCCATGATCCTCTCATCTCTCAGCCTCCATTACCCTTTGAGTACCATTTCGAAACCCTAGCCCCTCTTGAGGAGATTTCACCCTCTTGTGTGTGTTTTTAGTGTGTGTTGGTGAGATTTGAGGAAGAAGGAGCCTTAATCAAATGAGAACTTGTAGATCCAGATTTCTCACATCATTTCCAGCTTCATTGAGGTATAAAGCTTGGAACTTGCTCCTTGTATGCTTAGATCAAGGAAGAACTTGCTCATTGAGGTATCCGATGCTTTCAGTAGTACAGGCCCAATTCTACCTTTCACGCCATCTTCGTTGCCCTCACCATTTGCTTCGTGCATGCCAATTGTACACAATACGAGACTCAATAGACATTCGAATAAATGATTCCACCTCAAATCCACAACTAAACAATGAACATGAAGAAAGGTTAAATCAGACATTCTAATGCTATACAATTCTAACTATCATATGTACAATTATATAGCATACACTAAGCAATTAGTAATGTCAGATTCAATCTCATAAGAATGAACTCATAGGCTAAAGGCATCACAAATCAGGCAACACTGTCACAACATTACTGCAGGATCCTTAGCTTACCACTAGCTAGCATGCAATTCTATGAGCTCATAAAATATCAGCTATGCACTACTCATATTATAAATTGAGGTGTTTTGGGAAACTACCGCTCGAGGTTTGGTAGATTATACACACTGCTTCATTGGGCTTTCATCCTGTAAAAATCTTCATTTCTTTGATAAGTTTTTATTAAAATCTTCATATCCTTAGTTTGAGTTTGTAATTACCCACAGGTTCATCCAAATAACTCAAACCAAGGCTCTAATACCAAATTGTAACACCTCAAAATTTAAACCATTTTTTTTCATTTTTATATTACCAACATAAGGTTTCACAAACCAAGTCAACAAAAACACAAGCGTCTAACAACAAACATCATCACAAAATATCAGAGTATCTCAAACTATCTGGTAACAAATCTCCCAGCTAGTGTGTACAATCAGACCTTATTACCGCGGTCTTCAGAAGTACTTGAAACACATAAATCAACAATTGTAATGTAGCACCTGTTTCCTGGTATGTATTTTATTTAAGTAATGTTGCATTTTTTGGCCTAGGACTCGGCGAGTTGAAGGCCCAAAAGGTATAAAGTTGCTAACTTGCTTGTTCATTTGCTAGATCCCATTTTGTGGAGATTTAGGGCTTTTATAAGCCATTTTAGGTAGCCAACCATGAATGCAAGCATGGTTGGGGACAAGGCTTCGGATCTAGGTCCTTTGAGGGGTCACAAGGCAGAAAGTGGGTGCTTTTCCACCCAAGGAAGACTCCATGCAACCCAAGAGCTTGTTTTAGGACCTTTTGGACTCAAAGTCCCATGCATGCACGTAAAGTTTGTAACTTTACGTGCTAGGACGATTGTAGGAGCCTAGATCTATCTTTTGGTCAAGAGTTGTACATCAGAAATCGAGGATTTAGGGTGTGGATGTGACCAACTCGGCGAGTCCGTTCTTGGGACTCGACGAGTCCAAGGCTTTGAGTCCCATATATGTTGAGGGTCAAAAGGACTCAGTTGGGTGTTAGTAGGGTGGTAGCAGGACATAAAGAGTGACCCAACGCATTGGACTTCATTTTAGACCTGGAGTTCATGGGACTCGACGAGTGCTAGAACAGACTCGGCGAGTCCAAGGCAATCTCCCAACCCTTGAAGATGAACTCCACGAGTTGTCCATACAACTCGGCGAGTCGAGGACAGGACGTGTTCTTAGGATGAAGACGGACTCGACGAGTGTTCATACCGCTCGGCGAGTCGGATGAAGGTTCATCTGAGGTTGTGTTAGAAGGAGAACTCGTCGAGTCATCGCTAAACTCGACGAGTAGGGACGTGGAAGAGGAAAGTTGAGGGGGTAGGGACTCGACGAGTTGACGACCCAACTCGGCGAGTCGGGTCAACTGGAAGTTGACTTTGACCTTGACCTTGACTTTGACTTTGACTTGGACTTGGTCTGGGGTAAAATAGTCATTTTACCCTAAGGGTAGATATCGGGATTCTGATTAAGTGTTTTGTGGGGATTATAGCCGGAGGACTTCCGGAGCAACAGCAGTCAGAGATTCCCCGCACAGATATTCAGCAGCTACTCGTTTGAGGTGAGTTACCTTCCAGTAGCGGTGGGTCTACGGCCACAATGTCGGCCCACCAGTAGGAGTTGTATGTTAGATGATTGTCTTTGTGATATCATCTAGGTTTGCTACTACCTGATATGTTATATGCTGGCATGATATGTTATATGTGATAGTAGTAGAGTTCGGTTGTTAGGACCGAAGGGTAGGTCAGACACCCCAGATATGTCTGACAGTATGTGATGATATGTTTATATGTTGGCATGATATGTTATATGTAATAGTGGTAGTAGGAGGGGAATAGTCCCCAAGTTCGGTTGTTAGGACCGAAGGGCAGTTCGGACACCCTAGATATGTCTGATAGTATGTTTATGTCGTGATATATGTGATAGTAGCAGTAGGGGGTGGAATAGTCCCCGAGGGTTGGTTGTTAGGATCGATGGGTAGGTCAGCACCCCAGAATGGCTTGACATGGGTAGGTCAGCACCCCATAATGGCTTGACACGGGTAGGTCAGCACCCCAGAATGGTCGTATCGGGTAGGTCGGGCACCCCATAATTGCCCGGCAGAATGTATGTTATGTGATAGTATGGTATGTGGTACGATGGGGGAACTCACTAAGCTTCGTGCTTATAGTTTTCAGTTTTGTTTCAGGTACCTCTTCATCGAAGGGGAAGGAGTCGGCGCGGTAGCTGCACATCATACACACACCCCAGATTCCGCATTATGAGTTTCCTTGGGATTGTGCTCTGACATTATCACTATTTATGATTTGGATTTTCAGACATTATACATAGTTTTATGAGATGTTATGATTTGACAATGTTTTTCTTCCGAATGTTTTAATGAAAGTAATTTATAAAAAAATGAAATTTTTGGGCGTGGAAATTGAGATGTTACAAGTTGGTATCAGAGCCCTGGTTTGAGGGATTCGGACACACCTTCGGGGGTGTCTGAACTCAAATCGAGGGATTTAAAAGATTTTTACAAATGGTTTTCAAAAAGCTAAGATTAAAAGAGTTTTGAGAAAGAACGAAGTGTGTGATGTGCGCGACCGGCCGAGCTCAAGTAAGTATTCCCTAAAGTACCCATACAAGTTTATGTTATGATTATCAGTTTCAGTTTCAGTAGAACAGCATGCTAGATTAGGACTAAGGATCTAGGAAGGATGCCTTATGTGCCTATTGTATGAGTACCAGCTTATTGAGAACTGCATGCTAGTACATATTAGTCAGTATGATAGCCAGGATAGTATATGCTTGATTATGTGTACTCAATGCCCGAATGCTGCTTGCCTTGTGCTTTTAGGAGTTCTAGTTGTCTTTCACTAACTAGTAAACGAATATGTTAAGTTACATATTGCAAGGACTAAATAATTTCAGAAGGTTGGGTCTAGCCCTATTTCGCAGCTCTTGTTTGAGTCCAACCATTGTAGGGTAGGATCTCTCATTCGAAGAATTATCTAGTCTGAGTAA